ACGAAAGGAACGTTGAAACGTGGACGGGTTGGCAGGCCCTCCGCAGTATAGCATATGTACCTACATTGGGGTGGTTGCAGGGGTCAATGTATGTAAATATGCCATAGATGGAGTGTCTGGGTTAGATTCTGTTCAACCTCATGCGAGGGACGTCTTTTGGCCGTCGGCGGACGAGCGCGTGACGCAGCGCACTGGTGCGCAGGCGGTGATGTCCTTGGGGATCGTTCCCTGAAGCCACTCATAGATAGCCTAAGTTCACGAAAAAGATGGGCTTGGTGAATAGAAGGAAGACCCCCAGATTGTTCCAACCACTAGGTCACTGGGTCACTAGCAACACTGCCTGATTCAACCCCGTGTTTCTGGCGTCCCTTTTCCCACCCAAACCAATCGGCCGTGGATTCCGCACCAATCCGCTGACCCCCGGGATCCGGGGATCCGTTCCGAAGACCCTTTGGTCGGGGAGGGCGTGGCCAAAGAAGGTGCTTGGACCCCCCAACTACTGGACCCCAGTCCCAAGCTCCAAACGAGAAATACTTGGAGCTTTGGGGAAGGCATATGTTCAAATGCCTAGAGCAACAAGGTCAGTGTTTCTTTGTCCTGTGTGCATCCAATTATGAGTGTAGGATCGTGTAGGTCAAAAATCTCACAATGATAATTATCCTCTAATTGTAGCACCCGGTTTTTCGGCACGAATCTGCTTCCAATCCCACTGCATGGTTTGGTTTGAAAACCTTTTGGCATACATATAGACTCCCACACTGCTCTTTTCAAAGATCTAAACTGACACTTTCTCACTGAATGTTGATGTAGAATCTTGATGAATCGCCCTCCCCCCTTGTGGATTATTATACCTCTTCTTGTCCTCAAGAGCCTACATGACTGTTCCACCCCCCCACCGCGCGGCTGAGGACGCCGCCTGGAGGAGCTGAATCGTCCCACGGTACTGAGCTGAAGAGGCTCCACCAGCCTCCACTCGACGTGGCCCGACCATCGAAGGCTGGGCTGACCGGGCGAAAAACGGGTTGGACAACGGGATGAAATCCTCGCGACAAATGGGAACTGCACCGGTGTGAATTCCGAGGGCCGTGAGTTTACTAGTGGTTGGAAGACCTGTGTCAAGGATGGATCTTTCCTGGTGTGAATGCAAAAAATCGGTCCATGTGACGAGGACGGACCTCATTGCTCGGCCAATTTCAACGACCGACCCGACCAGTGACCGGGTATTACAGTATTCTATTCACGTCTCCCCTATTTGGCTCTTACAGGAAGAACGAACTCGAAACGTTTGGTCCCCCGGCTGCAGGAATTTCGGTGCCACTTGGAACCACATCATAGTTCTTTTGGGGGGGGGTTTGGATGAGGATGCCGGGCACGATCTTTCTCAAAGGCCATGCACCTGGCGCCATGCAGTCGCATCAAGGTCGAAAGCTGAAGGGTGCTTCTGGAGAGCCAACTTCTCCCAAGATGGACTTGTTTCTCCCAGGGACTTCGGACTCTGGGAGCGTCCCCCACCGAGAAGGAACCTGGATCGTGCGGTGGTTTGTGGAGGGAATTGGGGTGCCGTTCCTTCGAGCGGAGGACGCCCTTTTTCAGGGTTCGATGATTCTACGCAGTCAGTGCGGTCAGTAAACTGGTATTTGAAGGGTCACTTAGGAACCTTCAAAAGGTCACTTTGAAGAAGCTGGTAACCGGTATTTGATCTTATTTAAAGATTTTGGGAGCTTTGGCGTTCCCAAGGGGCATGACAATGACGGTGAAGTGAGCAGAGATCAAACAGACAATAAACAGACACTCCGGATTTGCGGTCTGGCCGCGTGGACGACGGGTCTCTGGCTGGGACAAGTAGGTTGAGGGACCCCCCCCGCCGATGCGACCGACGAAACATTCGACCAATCCAGTGGTGGCCGGCATGAGGCGGTGGTTTGCCAAATGCTTTGTGTGATGAAACTAGCAGGACCTTCCCTGCCAGGTCTCCGAAATGGAGGGTTGGGAAGGGCCTCAATTGGTGACCTGGCAAGGAGGTGATGGTATAGGTAATGTTTGCTTACATGGAGTGGAGTGAAACAGGGACTGGAATATGTCAGCGTGCGCACCTCTCCCATATCGGGGGTCTCCTGGTTGGACGACTCCTAACAAAACCACAACGTGGATCTCTAGACGGGAGAGTCCGACATGAAGGTCCAGCCGCCTACCCCTGTTCCACACTTTTCAACCACCTTACCTGACCAGCATGCCATGCCAGTCCCCTGTGCCAGGCCTTTCGAGCGAGCAATAATCAGTCGGCGGCCGTCGGCAGGACCACGGCTTGCGCTGGATTGCGGTTTTCCGAAGACATGCCGTGCCTTTGATAACCGAGACAGGCAGCAAATCATCAGTCAAAAGTAGATGCCTAAACTCATGATATTGTGTACTATACCTGTTTTTGGTAGACTTGCCGAATCGTTTGGTTGGTTTCAGCTTGCATTGGCAAGTTGGACAGAATATGACAGAATCATGTATGCATGACATTGTTTGTGGATTTGGACATTCAAGATAGTACTTGGTTTCTGTCCCCAACCAGCCGTGCCAAGTCGCCATGATCCTTTCATGCACTGACCGGCCGGGAGCAAAAGAGATTTGAAGATATGTACTGTAATATATATAATATGTGTATTACAATATATATATATATTATTTAGTTCTGTACATTACAATGCTTAGAGCCCAACATGACCCCTGTTTTGATAGGACGTTTGGCCATTGTTTGCATGGCTGCCACTTCAAGATGATGGAGGTCACTGAGGTGTTTGTGTACAATAGAAAGGTCGATAGATAGATAGATTATGATAGGCTGATAGATACATTTATTACATTGTACTTGAGCCATTTGAAAGGCATAAGGCATCCCAAAGTGAGTCTTTTTGCATTCTCTCCCAGCCTTTCTCAGCTTGAGCCGTCCAGGATTTCGCAAATGTCCCCCCGCACAAAAGACCTGAACATCACATAACAGTGGAAAGGCCGCGCAGTGCCTCCTTGTTTAGACGCCAGAAAGGAGCACCCTGAAGAGTTTTAAACGGACCGTGACTTTCGACCTGTTTCGACCAGTGACTTTGGGGGTCCAATGTGGGTCACTCTGGGAATCCCAGATCCCCGAAGACGCGCACGACGAGTGCAATTGCATCACGACGCAGTGGAATTGGAAGGACCACATCATTGGTCGTAAAAGCATGAGTTTCTTCGGGACCTGGTTTTAGTATGTTTTAAAAGGTGAGACCTGTAGGGGTTTTGCATGGTCCTTCCTTCACTTGGATGCAAGTGAAGGAACTTAGCTGAGCAGGGCTGTCACGAGACCATCATCTTTAAGATGTTCACACGTGCAGTGTAGTTGCAAATCCTGGTGGCTTGAAGAGTGGCTTGGTGTTTTGATGCGTAGGCCGCGGCTGCATATGCCAGGCAGCCCTGGCAGCTTAGGGTCTTTAATGGCCGTTGCACTAAATTAGTGCAACTCATTCCAAAATAGAAAGCCCGACACGTCCCTCTTGGGCGAAGAAACTGTGTAAACTGTGAAGTTGTCAGCATAGATGGCCTAACATAGAAGTGGTTGGTGGATTCATAGAATAGTTGATAGTTAAAGCAACCTCCTATGACAGTGTTCCTTGAATTGTTGCCTGTTGGAAGGAACTCCTGAAGAATCGCTCGACGGTGAAATGGCGGTCTTCAACGGCAGAGATCCCGTTGGCAGAGCGTGTCACGTTTTTCCTTTTAAATTGCCATGCCCTATGGATCCAAGTATATCGAGGTATATCAAGGTCCGAAGAATCTGTAGCGAACTGGAGCATATAATCCCTATGGATCCAAGTACCTTCTCAGAAGGTACTTGAACTCTCCAAACCTACATAGCGGTGTCTCCAATCACCGTACCTGAGAAGGTCCTAGGGATGTATATATAGATTGGAGGCGATCGCTACTAGCGGTTTCTAGCGCTACCAGGTTGGAGGCCATCCCTTTCAGGTTGGAGGCCAGCAAACACTTCGAAGTATTGAAAAACGTGGTTGATGTGCAATCGCAAGGACCCCCACCACCCCCTAAGAGGATGTTTGGGCTTGGTTAGGGGTCCACCGACCTTCTGAGGATTTGGGCCAGGAGCCGTGGATCTTTTTCTGATGCGGCTCACGTCAGTTCAGGTGCCACTCCAACCGCAGAGTCGCAGGGATGCTGAGGTGAGACATCCGGTGGAAAACTGCCTGGGGCACCTGAAATCCCAACAACAACTGTCAGTTCTTCCTGCTGAAGAGGGTGTTTTCTCTAGGGAAAGTGCTGGTGAAACCTTGATGTGGTCCAGTTTTCCAAGAACTTGATGCATGGCCCCAGGCATCCAAGAAGTTTTGTTGAGGCAGGGGCAGTTGGAAGTGCTTGCAGAGCCTGAGTGTTGGGCAAAGTGTGGGGCCTGGAGTCTCCTGAACAAGAAATATGCAGTCCCTAATCGTCCCCAGTTGCGTCCATTTCGGACCCCGTAAAACCATGTCAACACCTCATTGAGTCGTTGTTTTGTTCTTTTTTGTATGATCCACGTCCAGTATTTCATGAGGTCAGTTCCTGACCTTTAGGGTGGGCTGCTACTTGCTCTGCCCAGACACTGGGCAGCCCATGGCGTCAGTTTGCCGCAGGGCCAATCCTGAATCCCGCCAACCGCCCGTTCGCCCCATTAGCGGTGAGGCTGGTGCTTCCAAAAGGGTCCAAGGACTCAACACATTTGCGGATTTGGGTGTGAATTAAAACATTTTAACCATCCCAGAGACCCCCTGGAAGGAAAATGCACCCAAACCCATTGGGGCAGTGGATCTCACTATTAAAACACACACTCATTTGCAAGTCCTATCCTGTTTTAAGGACCCTGATCTTTTTGTGAACCCAAACAAAACGGAGCTAGTGGAGGACTGGTGCCTTGACTTGTAACTAAGACCTTCTATGCAGTGGCTTCAGAGTGAGTAGGATGCACAATCCCAGTCCACTCAATGATGCTTCCAGGTAGTGTAGGTCCGGTTTCCATATGTTTCCATATACGTGTAAATGTGTTGAACCATTAACTGTGTCCTGAAACCTTTGGACACAATCATTTTTCCATGGCTACCCAGGTGTTGCGACCGCTTTCCCGGGTGATGAAGTTGTTTTTGGTGGTTTTAGGGGGGGTTCCTCCCCAGGGCAGGACGACTGGTCATGTCCCAAGTGGCGCAAAACCGAACAGCCCCTGGTGGCGCTGGCTGTGGAGTGGAAGCGGACGCACCAGCCCTCCCGGCACCTCTGAGGGGAACTCGAGGTGCACCGATCCTCCGGCGATATCGCTGGCGACCAAACCGGGGGGAGCCAACTGTAGCGGACAAGATAGAAAGATCCCAGTAATTATTTGGATTGTATATATATAGGCAGTCTTGATACTTCAGGCATCTATTCATATCTATTCGGATTCTTTTGCGGAATTCACACATCATTATGTATATATATATATACTTTTTGATTCACTTGGATTTCTGTTCCCGAACTGGGAAGATGTGTTACTATTTTTTCCCGGGCTCTTGGACTGTAAATCCAAGGATTGCTATATGGGTGTGTTGCTCGGAGACGGACCGCCCTTCCGACGCATGTTCGGGCCAGGGCGAACCGTCTACCGCAAGGGCGAATTGGGGGATCTCCCCATTGAAAGGCACGCCCATCTTGGTCTGGAACTCTCCTGTTTGTCTTTTTTTCAGGGCGCTGAGTTTGTTGTACATGGATCATGAACACCTCCCCTAGGGATCCACATACCGAACCAGGTCGGTACGGTGAGGACGGAGACGATTTATGTAGGCGCCAGCCAGTCGGGTCCAGTGTTACCTAACCTGAGGTACGGATCGGTGGATCCATAGGGCTCAATGGTGAGCATCATGTATATATAATCATGTTAGGGTTTGGTTCGGGCCCAGACCCTGCGAAGGTGTCGGGTCCGACCCCTGCCATGGAGAGCCCGTAGGCATCATGTTTGGAACGGATTGACTTCACCAGTGTGGCCCAGTGCTTTCGACCCTCGTCTCTCGCCTCCTTTGTTTGTCTCGCGCCCACTAAGGGGACCGTTCGTTTTTGGTGAGGCGGGCCACTGAAAGGTAAGGTCGTGTAAGGTCTGTGGATGTTCTGAGGGATTGACATGAATGAAAAATACATTAACAAAAATAATACAGTATTTGATTGGTGCAGGCAGTTCTCAGGTGCCTCGGTCCCCTGCTCCATCCTGTTTCTTTCTTTTTTCTCTCGGGTGCCCTGGTTGTCATTTGGTCACATGGTCCCCTGATCCCTTGGTTCCCGGGTCAGTACTGTAGATACCCGCAATGCAGGTATATTTTTGTTGATCCTTATCATGTTTATTGTTTGATATCCTATTAAAAAACAATAAACCATGTTTTGTTGATCCTTCACCCCCGACTTAGCGCCTGCTTGATGAACCTATAATAGGTGACAAACCCAACGTCTTGCAGAACGGTGTCCCTGTTGATGTTCAACCCGTGAAGTTCGATGAACAACACATGGGGTCAGTGGAGAAAAACGTCGACCCTCCTGCTCCTTTCTTCCGGCCTCACTCAGAAAGATGCACCGGTGGAGGTCTTCTGTTTTTTTTGCATGCACCGGTCGTGTCTTCTGGTGGGAAAGCTCTATAAATCAAATAAATCATGTGTTGGAAGACGACAACACGCGGAAGACGACAACAGTGCCCCCCCCGTCTAGTCACATCCGATCCGAAAACCAGGCTGATTGCTTGGTACTGCACCGGCAGGGAACGATCCCAGTCAGAACTGGGAACACCTTTGTCCTTTGAGCGCTTGTCCTTTGGTGTTACATCTAATCAGAGAGTTGGTGTTACCTTGTGGCAAGATAAAGGCAACAGACAACCAACATCTCAGAAGTAGTTTTTTTTTGTTTTCTGTGTTATTCCCTTAATTACTCGCGCCCTCCATACAATTCCCACATATACGGTTTCTCCAAATCCCTAAGAGGTGGTTCATACACCTGGTTTTTGCTTCAAAGGAAAGGAGAAGGGGACGTCCCCATGGGCGAACCCCCTTCTGGCAAATGTTTGGTATGTGTTTTCCAACCCTAAGAATCCGGGCCCGAAGCAACACATAGGGTTTGGTTCGGGTCCGGACCCCTGCGTTTTGGTGTCGGGTCCGACCACTGCCATGGAGAGCCCGTTCGGATTCTTAGGGAAGTACAGTTGTCGGGGAATTGGACCAAGAGGTCCGAGAAAGGACACAACGAAAGCATCGTCGCAGTGAAGCCCTGGTGGCTGGGTTTCGGGGATGTTGTTTCCCACTGCTCCCAAGAAGTCAAGGGAACCAACTTTTAGACGGTGGTTCCGAGGTTCCTTTAAAGGTTTGTTTGCATGGTTTATAAACCCCATTTTTTTTTAATAAATTGTCATTTTGTAACCATCTTATATAGTTTATATAGCCATTTATGTAATGTATACCACTATTGACTATTCAAGATGTTTATAGGCTTCAGGATGCTTCAGCTCCCAGTTGCAAGGAACCCCACTTATGGTCAGCGGGTGTGTCATCGATCTGAAGATATTCTGCCAGATATCCAGCCGTGGCCTGGTCGCTGAGTCCCAGCTGTTGAGACGTGATTTCTGGTCGATGTGGTAAGCTGTCGAGGTCGGCGATGGGATTTGGTGCAAAGCATTGCAGAGCTGACCTCCCACGGTTTTAGGTCACTGAGGTGTTCTCTTGCCACGGTGGCGGGGAAGAAGTCCTTGCGTGAAGAAGTGGTTGTGCCTGGAAACCCACAGAGCACGGGGAAATCAAAGGTGAGGCGGACCGAAGAACATAGGGAGTTATATGTACATATGAGGAACTGCGAAGGTTAGGGAGATATCAGTCCTGGGTGGGTTGCTGTATGAATTCTGAATTCTCAATTTTTTGCGGGGGTTCCTAGAGGGCCGAGGGGTTTATCACACACACACACATACAGACACATATTTGGTATCTGTATGCATACTTATACAATACCCTAGACTTCCAAAACCATTAAACAAATGGTTGACCTGGTTTTTGTAGTGTAAAATCCTTAGTTGATTCGGTAAAGCCTATTAAATTAATTAATGGTTGTTGGAAGCCTAGGGAATAGCCAAATGGTTTCTTTTAGAAATTTGTGTTGATGGCACTTGTCGCTTTGGGCTTAATAGCTAAAGCTAGGGGGTGCGCATGACATGCAATAAGTGTCACCAGTCACCCCGACGTGACGGTGATACTTGGTGCCTGACGTGTTCGAGCTGGGAAAGTCTCGGGCACGAGCTGACCGGCCGGTGGTCGTGCTCATCCTCGAGACGCCTAGCTGAGGATCTCGTGCTGTCCACCACACGTCAGGTTCGCTACCTGAGGAACTTGTCTGCTGGCATCCGTGCGAACGTTGAGGCTGCAGGAAGTCGGGCAGACAAACCCGCGGCTGCTGGCAAGCGTGCCCGGGAAGAGGAGGTTGCAGAGGACAGAGGAGAAAGGACTTGATCCACCCCAAGCCTTCGGGCCTTTTAGCCAAGAGCCGGTGCGACAAAGGCGCCAAGCAGGCGTATTCTGAGAGTGAGGAGGAAGTCTTTGAGGAAGAGACAGAAGAGGAGGAAGAGCCGGAGACCGTCCATCGACCCTTGGGTGGAACTGGTGATCGAAAGCCCCCTGAACCGAAAGGACCGCCGCCGGCAAAGAGACCTCCGGTTCCTGACCAGTCAGGTCAAAAGCATAGGCATCGGCATTCGGAAGGTGATAGACGACAGCATCATAGTGATCGAGGATCGCATCAGCAGAAGAGGAAGCACAGAGCAGGCAGGAAGCATCAGAGGATTGGTCGTTTGGAACAGGACCCGGAAGCACCCGTGCATCAAAAGCTGAGCGGGCATTTTCTGGACAACCTGACCTCGGAGCTTGAACGAAGCTCAACGCACCGTCTTCAATGACGCACAGAGTACATCAAGAGGGTGAGGTTTTCACCCAGAAGGACTTTTTACAATGGGTGACTCTTGCACCGTTGAGAGGAGACGTGCTGGTGGTAGACCTGGGCACATCCTCGTATCAAGCAATGCCGCGGGTGTTGGGCTACTTCCTTGTCATCGAGGTTCAGCTCATCCCTGGTACAGGCACCTTGGCCGTGAGATGCAAGAGCTTAGGCTCATCAGACGCCAGTTTGAACAAGGACCTTTCATCGAGGTTCAACCGGAGAGAAGGTTGGTTGCATTTCTGCAGTTCAAATCCTTGCATAGAAGAGCATGCAGGGGACATTCACGTTGGCGATGTTGTGTGGCACACCTTGTCGGGAGCCGAGGATCAACTCACACCCGCTGCAGTCAGGTCTGCACGGAAGTGGTTGGCCGAGTCAGAGGAGGCACCGTGGACAGAGGACGCAGACCCGGTCGAGCCAGAGGCTGGCACTGCGCCTGGCCCGGCCAGACCGGAGGAGGAGTCAAGGGCTTCAGCTTTGAGGAGGACGTCAAAGGCCATCGAGGTAGACGCCAGTCCGCCTACCCTTGGAGGAGCTCGGAAAGGGGGAGAAGAAGGTGGACTCAAGACCGACGAGGCGAAGGACAAGACCAAAGAGAAAGCCAGCGTTCGACGTGCTCCCAATCGAGCACCTTCTGGAGGACAGAAACCATCGTCAGCCAAGCAGGTCAAAGGCAAAGGAGTTGGCAATGGGGCACCGTCGGCTCCAGCCTTGCCACCAGACAAGCTGCAAAAGCTTCGGGAAGATCTCCAACGGTCGAAGGCCAAGTTGGCAGGCGGTGGACCTCCAGAACCTCCGCCCGACAATTCATCAGCGGACGACGGGGAAGGTTCAGAGTCGGACTCGAACGACTACTCGGCATCCGGCAGCTCAGAGTCTGTGGAGGAGACAGCTTTGGGAGCCGGGACGCTGATGAATCAGCCCACGAAGGTGAGTCAGAGGGCGAGTTCACAGAAGGCTATAAGCGCTGGTACTTCAGAGGGCTTTCACGAACAGCTCATCAGGAGGGCAGCTGGCAATCGGCCGCAAACTCCCTCGGGGCATCACAAGGAGGACAACGACAAGATGGCTACGAGATCGTCGGACAAGAAGCGCAAGAAGGAGAAATCAGGCAGTCGCAAACCAGACAAAGAGCCTGGCAAAAAGGACAAGAAAAAGAAAAAGAAAAAGAACAAGAAGAAGAGCAAAAGGCATGCCAAGAGGAGGAAGAAGGAAAAGAAACGGAAGAGGAGAAAAGTGACCCTTTCGGATGGGAGGATAGTCAGCTGTTCAAGCAGTTCCAGCGACAGCTCACGGACTCACTCAACATCCGAGGAGGAGAGAGCATTGGAAGCGCCACTCAAGAAGAAATCGCTCAAACAGCCTGGGTCGGTTCTGAGCATGCTGCTGGAGCATATCTCCGCGCAGCTGCAACAGAATGCAGAGGTGGACACGCCGGCAATGCGCCATGGCGACCTAACTTCAAGGTGATGACCTACCTCTCGCTGATCATCAAGCCGCAGTTTCCTCATCGCCCCAAGGAGATGAGAGAGTTGCATATGCTAGCTTCGACCATCGACCTTCTTCGGCAGGGGCAATTGGCGAAGCTTGGGGATGTGTTAGCGGGGCGATTGGTGGCAATTCATCAGAGCCTGCTGGACGCTTCATGGGTGTCAGCTCGGCACTTGGAAGTACTCCCGATGCCGGAGGGAGCAGCTCTAGGAGACGGAGTCCTTCTGGCAGCGAGGAAGCATGGCCGGCAGGTCACGAAGGCCCAGGATGTCAACGCCTATTGGCCGACAGGCAAGGGCAGAGGAAAAGGAAGCTGGTGGAAAGGACAGGAAGGAGAAAACGATTGGTCTTGGCGAGAGCCCAAGGGAAAAGGAAAGAAGAGCAAAAAGGGAAAAGGAAAAGGAAAGAAGGAGAAGGAGCCACACGATGCCGACCACAGTGCAAAAGCAGACAAGTGACCAGGGATGGCTATGAGGTCCAGCCGGTTTCGACCGATGCTGAACCGCCATTACAGAGGATGAGTGTTGGAGAGAAAGGGTTGGAGATCTTTGCTGAGGGCCTTGCAAACGTCAGCACGATCGCACAGGCTGGTTGTTTCGCGGCCTGGCTCATTGCCCATGCAGAGGGTGCAACCCAGAGTGAACTTTCAATTGTGGTGAGAAAGGTGGTATTTGAACACTGCTGGAAGCCACAAATCATCCCCAAGAAAGGGATGATTTTTCCAATGCGTGCGGGTGAACTCGAGGGCTTTGTGAGGAGTTTAAGGCATTGTTCACTGGAGCAGGCACTGGACCCCACCTTTGCAGAGAGCTGGAAACTACAGGCATGGCAGCTGTGTGCGAGAGTGGGGCTCAATGCCGTCAGTGGGAGCCTACAGCCGCTGGCTGAAGGAAGGCTTAACGCCATCCAGAATCGTGCCGCGGCCTCCCTGACGAAGTCTTGCGGGAGACTCCTTGAACTCAAAGGAGTCCATCCTTGCACCGCTGACTCCGTCGAAGACGAGCTAAAAGGAAAGCGGCTCTCTTACACGGGTGAGGAGGTCAGTACTTGTCACCCGTTAACCCTTGACCAGGTTCTCCCAGGTTTGCCGCCGGCAGGGCACGGAGGTTCGGTCGATGCGTTGAGCTTGCTTTCTTCAGGTACTTCAAGGTTGCTACAAGACCCATCGCGACTAATTCTTCCGGACACGGGACAAATTCTGCCCCCGCTTCAAGCTAGGGTTCATTGTTCTAGAGACGAGATCCTTCCTTTGTGTAGGGATCTTTCACTACAGAGGGCAACCCGTCCTTTCGGGACTTTTTGGAGTGGAAAAACCCACATCCCTTCCGGACGGCCGGAAAGTCCTTCGACTGATCATGAACTTGGTACCAACTAACGCCACCATGGATGCGATTCATGGAGCCGTGAGGCATCTGCCCTCAATAACGGCGTGGCTTGGCCTCACTTTGGGGGCTGGAGAGGGCCTGAGTTTATTCCAGTCGGATTTGACGGCTGCGTTCTACTTGTTCAAGCTCCCCAAAGTGTGGGAAAAGTACCTCGCTTTCAATGTCAAGGTGAACGGTAGTGAGATCTCTCTTGACCCCTCAACCACCTATGTTCTTTCATGCTCGGTCCTTCCTATGGGGTGGTGCTCTAGTGTATCGATTATGCAGGAGCTGGCCGAACAGGTCGCCTTACAGGGTGGGGCGCCACTCGAAAGCCAATTGGTCCGTGGACGTGCTTTACCTCCGTTTTTGACAAGTTGCGTCGAACTCGGCGAGGTCAGGGACAGGCCTTGGTGGCACGTGTACCTTGACAACTTTTGCGCCGGCCAGAAGGTCATGGCGGGTGAGCACGCCCAAGCAGGACAGGCCCTTCACAATTGCATTGAAGATGCATGGGCTGGGTCAGGCTTGGTGTCGTCAGAAAAGAAAAGGGTATCAAACGCATCACGAGTGCAAGAACTTGGTGCCTGGCTTGATGGCGACAACCAAATGATCTCGGTCTCGGGAGAGCGCATGTTGAAGTTGGTTCAGACAACACTATGGGCACTTGGAGGACGAATTCTGAGGAGGAAAGTGGTGCAAATCATTATCGGAAGATGGGTGCATGTTTTGCAGTTCAGACGACCTGGCATGATAGTTCTTGAACATGTTTGGAATTTCATTTCAGGAAAAGTTTCAGGTCCAAGGGTCGTCGCAGGAGTTAGGCGGGAGCTCTGGACCTTGGTTCTTCTCACGCCCTTTTGGCACTGCAATCTACATGCCACAATTGATTCATGCACCACAGCATCCGATGCGTCGTCGACAGGGGGTGCAGTCGGGATCTCACATTGTTTGTCCCCGGCAGGTCAAGACTTTGTGTTAGCTTCAAAGGCGCGAGGTCAAGGTGTGAAACAACATCCCATCCTTGTCATCTCCCTGTTCAATGGCATTGGGGGGTGTTTTCGGATCTACGATATCTTGGACATTCAACCTATGGGTTTGATCGCGGTTGAGATTTTTGCCCCAGCAAACAGGATTGTTCAAAAACGATGGCCACAAGTTCAAGTGGTAACAGACGTGCGAAACGTGAATCAGGAGATGGTGCATCAGTGGTTGTTGCAATTCCCCATGATAGAGGAAATTCACCTGTGGGCAGGTTTTCCCTGTACGGACCTTTCGCGAGTTAGAGCGTTCAGGCAGGGTCTCCAAGGGCCTGCATCATCCCTGGTGTTTGAGATCCCGCGGATTGAGGGCTTGGTAAGACAGACCTTTGGGCATCAGGTACTGGTTAAACGCGTTATCGAAAACGTTTCGTCTATGGACAAGGCAGCTTGTGAGGAGGTATCCCAGATCTTTCATTCATGGCCCTATGAACTAGATTCGGTCGATTCGGTGCCCATGCGCCGACCACGCTTCGCATGGTGTTCTGAGCCCTTGGAGGGGGCTTTGAAGGGAATCACATTTTCTCAACACCACTATTGGAGGCGGGTACATGCAGAGGCACCCTACCCCTCTGATGAGCAATGGGTTGATCCCCATTGGGAGCGAGCTGGCACCTGGGAGGACGCCGTGCTGCCTACATGTATGAAGGCAATACCCCGATCTCAACCTCCACCACAGCCGGCCGGCTTGAGCCGGTGCTCGGAGGATACGGTTGCTAGATGGGAATCGGATTCCTACAGGTATCCACCCTACCAATATAAACCCCAGTTTTTGTTCTGGCAAGGAGATGCCTGGCGCCTCGCCTCCTCAGCGGAGCGTGAAAAGCTTTTGGGCTACGGCGCAGAGCACACCGCCCTCTGCCTCTCCGCAAGTCAACAAAAACAGGTGGGAGCCCGAGCCTACGAAGACTTGAGGTGTTCACTCTTAGGAGACAGTTTTTCCGTTCTGTCATTTGTGGTTCCGGGGGCGGCGCTTTGTCGGCGGTTTCTGCCAACCCTGGACTATCAATGGTTAGCCAACAGAATGGGACTAGCCCCAGGGTTCCGTACACCTCTCCGTTGCTCAGCGCCGATTTCACATCAGTTGTCGTATGGGTTTGGTTTGCATGCCTTGGGATCACAGCTTCGCCCTCAAGACTTGAACCGCATCCTCCTAACGAAGGTCAACCACACAGGATCGGACATTAGGGTCTCGACTGGGGACATTCTAAACCCTAGAGCGTTCCCTAGGCAGGGAGCTGAGGCCTCATGGTGGACATGGGAACCTGTGTTTCGCTGCAAGTGGGGGATCAAAGAGCACATAAACAGTCTTGAATTGCGTTCTATTCTCCTGGCTATTCGCTACCACATCGCTAGACGGTCTGCAGTGAGTACTCGCATTTTCCATCTGACAGATAGCTATGTTTGCATGAGCATCATTGGCAAAGGCCGATCAGGGTCCAAGAAGCTTACGTATGTTTTGAGGCAGCTCAATTCATTATTGCTAGGCTTCGATTCGTACTTAGTCCTAGGACACGTTGAGTCTAGTCAGAACCCGACTGATGAAGCATCGCGTCGATAGTGTTTTGGGCCGCCGATCCACGGTCGAGCGAGCTCATGCTAGAAGGGGCATAGTGCTTCGAGACGCTATCGTCAAGCCTAGAACTTTGCAGCAAGACTATCAGTTTGGGAGAAAGCTACTTCCTTTGTTCCGGAAGGCTACGACTGAAGAAGACTTGGATAATAGCATTTGCAATTGGATTGAACAGGCATGGGCCAAGGGTCGTCCCCTGTATCATATTTCCACTGCATTGTGTGGTGTTCAATTCTTCTGTCCTGGTATTCGCGGCAAAATTCCAGAATCGTGGAGGCTCTTTAAAGTCTGGCGGCGATTGGAAGTTCCATGCCGAGCGCCCCCTATGGCACAGGAGATTGTTTTTGCCATCGCTGGCCTGGCCATTCACCGTGGAGATCTGATTTTTGGTGCACTCATACTTGCTGCCTTTGAAGGCTTGCTTAGGACTGGTGAAATGTTGAACCTTTGTGGGTCAGATCTCTTAATCAGAAATGGACAGGGCCTCATCCGCTTGGCAAACACAAAGACTTCAGGACGGAAGGGGGTTACTGAGGTTGTGTCGCTTCAGCATCCTTGGGTCCTCTTGGTGCTTCAGACGCTTTTAGAATATCTGCAGGAAAAGAACTTGAAGTTTGTTAAAATCTGGAGAGGGTCTCCTTCAGTTTTCCGCAGCCGCTTCAAAGAGTATTGCAGGTTCTTCAGGCTTCAGAGCTGTGGGTTTCGGCCCTACAGCCTGAGACGAGGTGGTGCCACCCACCTATTCCAGGTAAGCCACTCGTACGATTTGGTACTTGAAAAAGGTCGCTGGAGCTCCATCCGTGCGGCCAAATTGTATATCATGGATGGACTTTCCAAGCTACCTCATCTGAGTCTTGAACCTGAGAGCATCCGTTTAATCACTAAGTGGTCCCCCCTGTGATCTCTTCACCCTCTAACGGGGTGAGTTCAGGGACCGTGGAAAGTGTTTTCTTTTTGACCTTGTGACCTGACAACAAAGTGTTTC